TTATATTTTAGATTTTTTATATTTAAAATGATATGTTTATCCTGTATTTGATTGTGTTTATTTGCAGTTAGTTACACGAATTCAGATATGGGATAAAATCDGATAGGGATGAACGGGTTTAAGAGTTTTTAAGAGTTTAAGATTTTAAGAGTTTAAGAGTTTTTAAGAGTTTTAGTCAAATGCTTTATAATATAGTATAGATGAGTAAAGCTTAATTTTAGTTTTTAGAGTTCTTTAAAAGGTTTCAAAATGGAACCTACATTTGATGAGTCTAGAAATCATCTTTATAGTTTGCATTTTGCTTCGAAAATGGTACCCGGTCACCTATATCCGTTCAAAAATTATCTGTTAAATGAGTATTTTGGTTTTTTATCTATTTCTTTAAATTATCTTATTAAAAATATTAAATGATATTATATGTACAGAGAAAGGTTCGGTTGCAACCCGATTTTAAGTTGTGAATTTGAGAACAAAGTAGAGTCAAACATGTGTTTCCGAATGTGTACATTCATTAAGAATAATGAAGGTGGACATTGGTGAGTTATTCATGATGAATGATATAATATTCATATGATTCATGATAAATTAATACACTATTCATAACGAATAACATGTAAACGTACGAAACATGTACAAGTTCACATCATAAATCCAGTTTGCAATCGAATCCACCCCTCTATATGCTGTGTATCTATATATTCCAAAGTACGTGATACTAAACCTCTGTTTATACTCAATAGCCGACTTCGGCCCTCGAAATCAAACAAAAATATAACCTAAAACAAATAAAATCATCACTGAACTTTTATAACTGTCTTGACAATCAGATCTATCAACAACATATTGACACTTTCATATCCATACCAATTACTAAATTATTTGTAATTTAATTGTTATTTATATTCATAAATTAATTAGATTGCAAAAGGGTTTTGCCTATGAAACAAAAAATAAACCATAAAGCATTTAGATTTCTTAAGCATATATGTATGATTAAAGTTCAGCAAGCATTTTGCCAAATTAACAAACAGAAAAAAGCAACAATATGAAATGGTATCACATTTATGCAAAACAACCCAACAAAAACCAATGATTAATAAATCTTATACAGCAATAACAATAATCAATTGTAGCAAGAAACCCATCTAAGGGCAGACAAAGGATATAAAGCTTCTACAATATAAGATCCAAACTGAAAGCAAAAAACCAAGTCTACCTTCTGGTTTGTTTAATGTTAAGATAATGGGTACACAGCCACTAGCTACCTGCCAAATGGAAATCTCACACAGGTTAAAACACCTCATAAAATGCATTAAAATGTAACAAGTGTTTGTAATGATGGAATTTTTTTGTTAATTTATGTAACAATAGCTCAATTTTTTTCTAATCCGTACCTATTTTACCTGATAAACGGGTATTTAGCATATCAGTTGATTGTGATGTGGCATTTTACCATGCAATCAAGAATTACAATTTAACTTAGCAACTTTGCATTCACGTCATCAGCATTCACAAAATCTACCAGGTACCATGCAAAATGGGTACGGAATAGAAAAATAGAATGTTTGTTATACTAATTAAGAAAAAAATTATCGTTCTACTAAATATAAACCAAGACAAACTAAGTTCTATTTTGACCTATGTGCATTTGTAGCAACGATGACCAAGCCTGAAAAGTGTGCATGCCTGTGGTTTTCCTCATTTATGTTCAGAAACTACAAGATGAAGTTTGAGCTTGGGCTTCAAAGGTCAAAAGTGCCTAGAGGTCCCAACCTCAAATCTAAGAAGGAATAAAAATCCCCTTGTCGCCACAGAGGTTCAAATGCGGTGACTTCAGACTACCCGCAAAGCAGGTGGTCGTCCTGGGATCAGTCGGCTCGTACAGCATGTTGGATATCCAGGTTAACCAAAAAGAAGAAAAACTATAAGAGCACGTTTGGTTCACATAATGGACTTTGGTGGAATTAGAATTTGATCAAAAGAATTCACTATTCCAATTCCCTTGACATCCCATGGATTCCACAAACCAAACAGCACCTAAGAGTTGAAGGGACATCCCAATAATGACGTCTTCTGTTGTAGCATATATTTTAGTACCTTCGTCCCATTACAACGTTTGAATTGACATATACTCCGTCCGTCCCATGTTAATTAACTGAATAACAACTTTACCCTTAATAATAGAGGGAGTATGGAATTTCCCAATCTCATGATTAAGGGTAGAATTGACAAGTATGCACTTACTTTCGAATATGGACACTTATTTTGAGACAAACTAAAACTGAAATATGGGCACTTATTTTGGGATGGAGGGAGTAATACAAGTGTTAGTGTTTAATTGTTTATCAAAATACGCAAGCCATCTTTGAATGAAGACGAAACAAACTGCAATGAAATATGAATTCTTTAATGAACATTAAAATTACCTCCTAAGGAGCACCGAAAACCTTTGACCGCCAAGAAAACTCCTCGGATTGCAACAACTCCGTCCCTAGTTTCTTGATGTAGACCTCCAAAACAAATGCATGCTCATCCACAATATTACAGGACATTGCATCTTCAGCTATTTTTACTGCTGCTATTTGAGATAACTGAAAGTTTTCTCCGACTCTATGCAATTTCCTAGCGATATCTTCCTTCCCAATCATCACAAGACAAGCCAATAAAGATCTGAGCTCACGCGCTGCCCCAGAAGCAAGTGACATCCCCTTCAGATGGTCAACTAATGCCATCTCCTCATCAGGGCTGGATATCATTTAAACGTTAAAAAGGAGAAATAGAATACAATCATTCGGTCAAAATGAAATACAGCTCTAAGATTAAATTAAGTACCTGCCAGCACGGATTTTGCCTTTCTTCTTTTGGCGTCTTACCCCTCTTTTGCTAGTGCCACTTGAACTCATTGAAGCAGCAGAACTCTTTCTTGTCCTGGTCAAGAATCAGAAAAGTTAGAACAATTTTAAAGAACTAGAGCACAAAGATGCTCAGGGATCGATAGTTCGGTACAGTGAATAAGTAAAGGTATATAAACATAGAGTTCATACCCAGTGGAGTAAGCACTCATTCTGCTGAAACTGCTGCTAGCTTCTGAAACAGTGTCATCATCCAGTTCATTTACTGATCGCTCATTCGACTGAAGCTTAGCTGCAAGCAATAACCTTCGCTGCCGGACTGCCAGGTATCGTGCCAAGTACTTGCCCACTTTCTCCAAACCTTCTTCATATTCAGCAATCAGAGTGGCGGCACATTCAACCGCTCCAGTCTTCACATCTGAGATCGAGTCCTCCCTCCTGTGCATTAAAGCAATCCGCAGAGCCTCCTCCCATTCCCTTGCATTGATTAATAGGTTTATCCCATTTTTAACATCTCCACAGTAATCAAGAGCAATTTTAGCAGCTTCACCTGGTTTCCCGAGCGTTTGAAGTTCTTCGCATAGCTCGTGTGCCAATTGCAGAATCTCTTCTTTTCCTAGTTTGATGAGACCAGCAACAGTAAGCACCCCACTCCAACTATTACAAGAACGATAAGCCTTTAAAGCTTTTTCTAGACTAGAGCAACACATATATGTTGTAGCAGCATCCTCAAAGCATTTAATGTCGCTTAAATGGTCTCCCCAGCCCTCAAGGACTTGCCTCCTCTTAGTGGGATCTGTTAGCAATTGAAGTCCCATAGAAAAAAGTTCTGGATTCTTCTTCATGAGATTAATACAATCTTCAAAATAAGCATCTCCAGCAGCAACAATGTGTTTGAGTGCCTTCTCAAATCTCCTCAATTTGAGGTCAATTCTATATCTCATTATGAGACTTGGCAAGACTTCCAGTTCCTGAAGAAATGGTAGGAACTCCTTTGGATCCTGTTGCGAGTTCAATGCAACAATAGCTGCAAGATTTAAGTCATACAGACCCAAAGCAGCTTCATATACAGCTTCACTCTCTGAGAGCCACAAGAGATGTTTCAGAGATTCTTCAGCAGAGGGGAAACACTTCCTCTTTGGGTCATTGCAATCTGATAATTCCATCTCACGAATAACTTTTACCCGCTCCAATGCTTCTTCAAGAGATGGGGGGTCAGTCCGAGCCAAAGTGGTTAAGATGCAAAGCTCTCTCGCAGGGCTTTCCACTATTTGCTCCTCAAGAGCTTTTCTCACAGCCAGTAGGACAGAATTGACCTTGCTATTACCACCAAGAACCATAGAACCTATTGATTCTTTACCATTTGCCTCATTTGTATAAGATATATGGCTTTTGTACAAGGTCTCCATGACATTTTCATTCTTCAAGGAACATACAAACTCAGTAATGTAGCTTAGATTATCCACCTGCCGGACAAACTCTGTAGCCAATTGTAGAAAGGCTTGCCAGCCCCCATGATCGACAATAACATTAAAATCTATTCTGTGTCGCCTTACCATGAGTAAGGCATCTTTAAAACGTCCTTGGACCAAAGCATTAACAATTGATTCCAGTACCAACTTCCTCGGATAGATACTCTCTAAATTTCCACGAGTTGTTTGTAATATAACAACAGATTCATCTCCATGCACAACCCCTAAGATTTTCGAACCCTTTTCCCATATCTGTATAAACTTCTTTTCTTCTTCTGACATTCTTCTGCTTATAACTGGTATAAAATTGCCATACTTGGCCTCCGTTTGACCAAGCATAATATCACGAATGTCAACAACATAGAGAAAGTCTTGTTTGGTCCCAAGAATTAGATGTGTGATCGCTTGATTGGTGGAATTTGAGTACAACGAGAAGCTGCTGCAATTGTTACACAAAACATTCTGATTGACATGCAGCCTACTGTTGTTATCAAGCCCGAATATCATAAAAGGCTTTGACAGTCCATAATCTCCGACAGAAGCCACACTCATCCATGGGCAAGATGATAAAAATCGCAAGTCATGGTGCTCCTGTAGAGAACCTGCTTTAGTATCCAATTTTGATGAATACTCAAAAATATTCCCACCATTCAACTGAACAAATGCTGAACGTCTTTTAACAGGGTTAGAAGCAACGCCAATCACTGTCCTCTCAAGAGAATGTTTGTTAGAGATTTTAGCATGCCATCCAGAGCATGTGACTAACCCAGGAATGTGATCCTCAGAGCATGCAAGTTCAAGTTCCTGCAGGTAGTTGCTAGAAAGCTCATTTTTGCTGTATGAGGAGTCCGGAAGGTGGCCATGATGGCTGAAACCAATAGGAACAACACCAAGAAGCACATGTGAGTCCAACCATGTGAGATGAAGAAAGGATGTAAGATCTTCAGAAATACACAACTCAACACCAAAGACTTTGCCTTCTAGATCTTCCCAAGTGTCAAGACTAGGAAGCTCCACAACAGACAAACTGCCATCTGACAGAGATACTGCCAAACTGTTCTTAGAATTCATGGACCAGAAAGCCATTTCTCTAACAGAACAAGGAAATTCTAGCTCAAAGAGATACATAGGAGGCGGGATGACGGAAAGGGAAAGGGGTGTTACTAGAATCTTAGAGCCATCAACAACTAATGCTACTGAATTATCAGTAACTGCTGTAATCCAGATAAAATTGTGGACTGTGATCATGCCTTTCAGAGTCCAACATATCAACTGAAGAGGCTTTACTGGATCCCACATGAATCTCACTCCCTCCTGCCTCAAGTACCTGATTTCTTGTTTTAAATACCAATGATTGTTGCTGAACAGCCATATCTTGATGGAGTCATAGGTTTCCCTTCTAACAATAGCAGCAAGCAGATCAGAATTACAGTTCCACTTTAGATTCTCAATAGTTGCATCTATTCCCTCGTTTACACTGAATGAGCTCCTTTCTAACCCATTTCTCTCGAAGAAAACTATGGAAGGACATCCCCCTTCTTCCTTGTGATCACAAACAGTAGCAATTTTTGCTCCAGATGGCATCCATTCCACAATTTCTCCCATAAAAGACTTGGGTTCTGAAACAGAATGCAAGTTCCCTGTATCTCGTTCCCATACTTTAAGCTTCTTAAGCAAAGAATTATGTGTCAAGCTTACTGTAGCAAAGAATTTCCCGTCACCTCGCCAGGTAGCTGAACTTCCACGTTGACATTCCGACTGAAGGTATTGATCACCTGCGACTAACTTTAAGTTGTTTCAAGAATCTAATCAAGCAATAGCAGAAGGCATATATTTGGCTATTATGAAAGTCAATGCATGCGTTTAAAAACTGTAAGTCCCTAACACTTAACTGAGCTAGAAGAAGCATACAAATCATGATGCTTACAGTAAAATCAGTAGATGGTTCTATCAGATTCTCTCAGATCTTGTCAAATGTCATTTGTTTCCTAGCAAAATTTTCTGCTTTGGTTTTGATTTATACGGCACCCATCCCAAGTTACACTTAACTTTATCAATCTTAGCTTTGTCCTAAACAAAATGCGCCTTTTTGGTTTCTTGAAATTGTTAAGAAATATGTAGATCCTTTTGGGGGGTTTTTAACCATTTAACACAATATAAACCACAAATGAGTTTCATACTTTCATTCAATTATGTTTTCCATCAACTTCACATGTTAGGGCTGCATTTTTTTATAAATCTATCAGAACATATTAGTTTGATGTCCTGACAAAATGACTTTCAGTTGTAACTAAAAACATATAAGCAAGAGTGCAAGGCTAGCGATGACTCATGTATCAAAATGGTAAAATATTTTCTTAAATTTTATGTTATGCACAAAGGCTCATTTATTTTGGGATGGAGGGAGTACATTCTTTTCCTTCTGCGTTTCTTCGTCCTTCCATTGTTCTCTTTTTACAGTTGGAGGATGGTTTGTTATTCCTATTAGATCGTGAACAAACCAACTTCAGAGGCAGTGGTAGCTCACTATTGACATAGTAAAAGCTTAGGATCATGCTAGAAGATGGCACGTAACCAAGATTTGCACCTCATATTGACAGCACGTTTTTGACATGAACGAAGCTTTCTTCCCTTAAACTAACATGTTACACCAATAGTGGAGTTTATTATGTTACTTCTTAGAAACATGCATGGAATTATGGAAATGGCAGTATGGCTGTAGCACACCGTTTTGGACATTCTATACTAAATTTCCCATTAAATTCAGTCTGTTGCATGCTTTGTCAAAAATCATAAACAAATATAATTGAAACCTCCTGCTGTCTGCATGGCCTTTCCATAGCAGCAAAGTGATTGGATAAAACATTTTATCCTTGACATAATTGTATAAACTATGAACAGCTGTAAGGAAGCAGGAACAAAGATAACAGCACTTGCCAATAGATAATCATGTTATATGTTACGGGAAGGAAAAAACAGAAAATGTGGCAAAGAAACCTTACGTACGTCAGCATCTTCGACAGGATCCTCAAGTGCTGTCTCATACAACAAGTCCCAGTCATGAGTCATTACCAACATTTGGCCTACACCAGTGACAATACAGAGCAAATCTCCATCAGGACTCGGTGAGAGGCACTTAACTCCACCTTCCACTCTGCCAACAACCTCCATCATGTTATCATCCACATTATACAGCAATAAAACACCACTTAATGTTCCAATAATGAGTGATTCTTTCTCCATGAGATACTCCAAGGAAGTAATAGAGTCACCAGCATCTAGATCAACGGCCTCGATCAGCGGACTTGCTGATGGTTTGCCACATGGTTCATCAATCTGCAAATTTCATCAATTTCTAGAGTTGGTAAGAAGAGTAACGGTTCTCTTTTGAATTGATGAAAGAGAGAACATAGGCTTGTACGTAATACAAGTGTTCTATGTAGCATGAATGCTTCAAATAACTTCCGTGCCACCAAGTGACACTTCCACCTTTGCCCAATACGTGTCCTCGTCTCAGAGACTCAGACATGTTAAAAACTTCTATTACAATTGGACACTTCAAAACACGTGTAGACAATTCTCAGCCTTGCCAGAATTCTTATACTTTTTTGGGAATCTAGACATTTTCCAGATTATTCAACGACTTTTTTCAGACTTGCTTATCTATATCCTTCACCTATATGATATTAAAGTTTTGGCATCGACATTGATGATGAATGGATATTGAAGTACTCTTTCCATCTCTCATATGGATAATTAGTATGTACTATTTGAATGATAACGGGCATGATGGATTCTATTGAAAGCAACAAAGCATTTAGTAATCAAGATTGGTCCTTCAAAATTTCTACAACTATTTGAAAAGCCCGATTCTTTAAAGCCTTCTTTTAACTCTTACGTAACCATTCATGTTGATAATCTTCATTGGGGTAAAAAATGACATTCTAAAATTTGAAGTGCCCATCTAGTGTCAAAATCTGATTTTTTTTATGAAATAAAGACCGTGCAACGTTGTACATCAACTTCAATGCCACATAAATATATTTCTGAGCAGTGAACTAAAAAGAAAAAATTTAATTAGATTTTCTCTTAATTATATATTTTAATCATCAGCTAACATTTTGGAGAGATGCTGAGTTGACATATCTTGTTGCACTTTGTATCGCTGTTGGGGCTACCGGCTACATATGCAGATCCTAGGCAATGAACCATAAAGAGAACAATTAATTATACTTTATCTTAAATAATTCTTCATTGCTTCCTTTTCCTGATTAACACAGAGATACCTTTGTGTGTGTTTTTCACCTTTCCAGTCAACACTATAATGTCCATTACACCTCAAATATTTAAAAGTCATTCTCATTTACACAGCACACCGCTTTCTTACATTCAATTAAATGCTTAACACTTCCTTTCAACTTGTATAAACTGTCACTGTTTTAGGGACTCCATGTAGTTCCCACCAAAACCTTTTTGGTAAGATCCTCTTCAAGAATTTTGGTAAGGTTATACACCAAGCTGCACTATTTTCTACCACATGAGCAGTCATGTCGGATTAAGCTCACACTTTCTATCATTTATTAATATCTTGCTGGTCTCCAACATGTCCTTTAAGTTCATGACGCAGGCATCTTCAGAACCATAACTCATAAGTATATTCACAAATGTGGATTTAGTCCATCACATTCACGTGGTGACATTCACAACTACTCACCTCAATAATTTTCTAACATTACATATCCAAATGGGAAAACAGTTTGCAGGACTTGAAATGACATTCAATATCTATAATAACCAAAAACAAGATTTGAGAAACATGAGCTTCCCTGGAATTAACTTTTCCTGCCTGTTTTTCTCATAATCCCACGATCCAACGCTAGAGTCAAACCCTCAAGATTACTATTAAACACCTAATTTAAATGTTCTTTCATATTCTTGTAATCGATATTTGTAACTGAGTGATCTTCGAAGTTCTCCATCCATAATGTCTAACACAGAATTTGCAGGATTGAATTCATAGTCGTAAATAACTATGCTTGTAATAAAGAGTAAGAAAAAGTGTGGCTTACTTGAGAGGAAGAAAGATGAGCGGTGTAAATGAAGTTAGCAGAAGATGCGAAGAAGATGCGATTCTGTTCGATATCAAGAGCAGTGCAACGAATCACTTCAGTTTCTGATTGTAAGTGGAGGTTAGATGACAGCTCCCATGACAGCTTCAGATTCTTCATTTTCTCTCCAAAATTGAAACAATTTTTAAGCAGTTATCATCAACAACCAAAAACGGTTTGAATTTGGTATCCAGAGACGGACTCTGCGTTTTGGGAAAATTAACGTGCCCTAGATTTGCAGGAGGCTTTTAAAGGGTTTAAGGCGCTGCGCATAAATCAGAACGAGGGTTTACCATTTTTCATCCGCGAAGACCATGTTTTTATTTTTTTAGTTTTTTTGGACCACTTTTTTTAAACTACTTATGTTTTTATATAAAATCATTTATCAACTTATTATAATTCAAAATGGTTTAACTTTTTTAAAAATTCCTTATTATCGGTTTGGTACCGATATAAGTTGTTTATCCAAATACTCAAAAATGTTTATTATCGGTGTTACACCAAAATAAGTCAATAAATTGTTTTTATAAGCAATCTCAAACACCCCCTAAAGTGAGGTTTGGAATTACTTATTTGAAACAACTTAAGTTTTTTTACAAAAGTTCTTGTTAATTTATTATAAGTTATAATTGTTTAACTTCTTTAAAAACTTCTTATTGCCGGTTTGACACCGGTATAAACTGTTTATCCAAACACTCAGAAGTGTTTATTACCGGTATCACACCGGAATAAGTCAATAAGTTGTTTTTATAAGCAATCTCGAACACCCTCTAAATTTATATTCGACAAAGTGGCTAATAACCTCGGGAATAGATTATATTTGGTATAAACTAGTTATAAAATGATCAAAAAATATATCTTGAAGAAATAGTTGATTATAAATATTTTTATCATATAATTTGAATAAATTTTTAATAGTATAATTAAAAT